CGGTAAATTGTAAGAGCGATTATAATCATGACACCAATTGAAGAAGCTATTGATTGGTGGAGCTGTCCTCTGAGCTTAAAGTCGACTACTACTTGACTAGAAAACCGAAAACTTTTTAAAACGCAAGCAACTTTATAGGTGGAAGTAACGTTAAACCAATTCGCGAACAAGTCCCGAAAACAAATCAACAGCTTAATACTACTCATATTGAAAGTCAAAAAGTTAGGTAAATAAAATGAATACAAATTTTGAAAAATATAAGTTTCGAAAAGCACCATGGAACTTCAGGGATTTGTGAGACTATATTATAACTTTTTATAAATAAATTCGGTTCCTCCGAAAGACCTGTAGTGTGATCTAGTAAGTAGAAACACACCTGCACGCAGTCACGAGTTAGTGGGCGTTTCAGTTTATGTGTGAGCTCTGAAAATAGTCTGATACAAAACAAATGCGCATTACATCTCAAAAAATTCAGTCAGCGATATCATCTGGTTTTGAGATAACGTTAGGTGCAATACGAATTAAAGGCTTGGAGACGGATATTAGAATGAATAAAGATAATGCAGTTGTCGAAGGATATCTAGACCCCAGTACTTACTTCGTGAGGCACCTCCTGGATACGATCAAGCGCTCGGATATGATCCAGAGTATCAATTGATGGAGAAAGACCCCCATGCAAGCAAAAAATCTAAAAAATGGCAAACTGAACAACCGTCTTACTTGCTCATCGATCAGCGCAGTGAGGGGCAAGTAATCAAAAAGATCGGTAAAGTACTTCCAAACATTTGCGTTTCCGTACTTGCGCAGACACTCGTCATAGAATCCATAAACCTGAGTGATTTGTCGGCTTTCATGATTCCCGCGGAGAACTGTGACACGACTAGGGTATCTCACCTGTGAAGTGTAAAATTACAAATGCTGACCTACTTTAAGGGCGATCAGCAAAGTTACGCTCTCCACAGAATAATACCCACGATCAACGTAATCACCCATAAAGAGGTAGTTTGTATCTGGTGGCTTCCCACCGATGCGGAACAGCTCCATCATGTCATGAAACTGCCCATGAACATCACCGCAAACGGTCACTGGACCTCTGACCGGTTGCACATTAGACTC